AATTTTGAAAATGATTTAATACTTCAGCTAAAGTTGGTGCTGAAAAAAACGCTTGAGCTGATGTGCTTTCAATATTCTAGAAATCGTACGGCGCAGCTAAATAACAGTTTCCCCCCAAAAATTAGTTTTTTAACCATACTTGATTTAGTACTTTATTTTTTTTTATAATACCGTATATAAATATCAATCAGTGATAATGAATTTGAGGAGTTTTGAAAAAACAACGAAGTATGCCTGCTACGATCCAGATTCCTAAAGGTAAGTAAAAATCATTTTAGTAATAGACATTACTCGTATGAACTTCGTTGTGGGTAATCAGATCTTTCTTTTTCTTCTATTTTATAGATGTATTTATAAGGCTTAGGCCTGCCATCGACGGTACTCCCGTTCAAGGCATCTTGTTTGGTCAACGTGAAGAATGTCCAGATCGTAGACTAATAATTCATGTTAAGGTTAGTCAAACATTTAATGTGCATAAATTCATTTATTTATTTTCTCATTCTTTCGTCTACACCTTTTCATCTTGGTTTTAGGGTTTTTTTTCATATGAGTCAAATTCTCGGGACCTCGTCAGCACGATCGCAAAGTTGATGAACTGGAAAGGTCAAACTGTACTAGGATGGTTTGCAGTAGGTTCTTTTTTTTATTTTTTGCATATATTAAGCGATAAAACTTATGAAAAGTTAGTTATTTTTAAATTTTTTGGTGCGCTCATTGCTAGGCCCCCGGGCTCGATGTTTTAACACGTTGTGATCCACCACGTATAGCTTCAGCTTATTTTCATACTTTGCAGTCAGCTATGTTAAAAGTTATTGTAGCCAACTACCTCAAGCAACACACTGGTATATTTCTAAAGTTAATATCCTATTTTAAGATATACAACAAAAGTCAATAAAATTTAATACCAAATCATCTGCCATCATTTCATAATCAGAATACGACGTAAAGGAGATTACACCATTGATCGCACGAGAATCATGTGCATTGTTTCAAGATCTTATCGGACTTGTTGTTCAAAGGGCATCTAAAACGGTTGATTCAGTCAATCCTACAATAATAATGAATATTGAAAGCACATCAGCTCAAGCGTTTTTTTCAGCACCAACTTTAGCTGAAGTATTAAATCATTTTCAAAATT